AGGCGCTACTTCACGGTCAGGGCGGCTAGAGTCTGGAACCAGCTTCCAAGTAAGGTGGTGCAGGCTCCCACCCTGGGGGTTTTTAAGAGGAGGTTGGATGACCACCTTACTGGGGTCATTTGACCCCAGTGCTCTTCCTGCCATGGCAGGGGGTCGGACTAGATGATCTGCTCAGGTCCCTTCTGACCCTAGAAACTATGAAACTATGAGGTGCATGGCCAACCCTACTTTCTGGAGCAGACGGCACAGCCGAGCCTGCAGCTGCAAAGCATCCTGGGATGCTGGGGGACTGTGATTTAACTTGAACCAGGAAGGGGTCTGGGACAGAAGTTTCATAAACCAGTTTGACCTAAATCCGTTTAGTCTGATACTACATTCACCCGGGTTTATCTTAAACCAGTTTCAGCCATTTTGAAACTGGTTTATGTTTTAGCAATCTACCACCCAGGCTGCATAATGTATGTGGAAGGGTCCTCAATGGTACTAAACTCCATGCACAAAGGGAAAGCAGTCTTATACCTGGAAAGCAGCAGCCTTTGCAGCTTGCAGAAGAAAATCCTAGTGCCTGGGTGAACCTGCAGTTTATAATTAAAGTAATGCACAAGACATGGAGAAGACATACACAAGACATGGAAAAGGGGAATAGAAAGCAGTTTTACTGCTATATGGCTTGATTAATCATAAATCTACTTTTTAAACTGCCCTCACTCTTCAGTGGACATGGAAACTGTTTTCTACTCATGAAGTATAAAAGGAACATACATAGTATTAAAAGAAAATTTAATTTAGAAGCTGTTTCAAGCAATTGTTCACCCTAGGGGGAAAAAAGAACACAAAAATGGAGGTGGGCAGGAAGCAACCTTGAATCCTAGTTCCACAAGAGTGCTGGAGTAAAGAAGGTACTTAGTCCAATCCCAGTACTCCTGCTAACAGAATACAGGAAACCCTTGTTATTCGTGGGTTCAGCATTCACGGTTTCAGGTATTCTCAAATGCTGAACCCACATTTTAAATACACTTTATACACTTACAAGAGCTCCTCAGGAGCTCCTTGCTTGCTGCTGCTGGGCTCCTGCCAGAGCCGTGCTCCCACCTCCAGCCACCAGGGGCACTGTGTTCATGAACACAGTGCTCTATTCATGGATTTCGCCATTCACAGGGGATACAAGAATGTTTCCCCCATGACTGGCGAGGGTCGCCCATACAAGGCAGCTGCTCATGGTGGTAGACTTTGGGAAGACCTAGAAACAGAGATAATGAGAAAGGAGGTAAGAGGGGAGACAAATACATGATATGTTCACTCCTAACTGACATTAACCAGTGGAACAGATCCTACTTAAAGGGGGCATATATTAACTTCTTTCTACAGGGATAGCAGAAGCTGTTCCTGTCAGTGTGTGGTGGCAAAACCACATATTTTTTATCTTTAATATACAATATTATTTATAGGTTTACGAAATCGTAAATAGGTAAGAAAGACACTGGTAAAACATTGGTAAAATTTACCATTTGAGTATTCAACTTTCC